AAGATTTTTAAAAATGTGCACTTACTTCTCTCTAAGGTGAGATTTACTTATTACAATGGAATCCCTCCATCGATTAAGCTTTACATAGAGACTTGCTTTCTTCTGAGGAACTGTCACATATGATATAAGTCGTTCCCCCATTGGACCTTCTACAACATCCAAGGCCTCTTGAAATTTCCCCTACGGTTACAAAAAATGTTAAAATATTTTAGGAATAGGTGATGGCATTTGCGGGACTGGGTTTCTTGCATACCTGCTTCTCCAGAATAAGTAAATAAAGTTGAACCTCCTGCTCAGCTTCAATTTTACCTTCATCAATAAATTTTTGAACCATTCTCTCTGCTAAAGGAAGAGTTACCATGCGAGCAATTTTTTCATCAGAGTGGTAGGCCTTGAAACAACAAAAGTTTTAAATTTATTAGTACCCTCCATGAAGCAAGGAGAAGTGATTCCAAAGATGCGTGAGCTTACTTGCATGACAACACTCATCACTGCCCAAAAGTAGTACGGATTCTTGGGCTTTACTTTGTACAAACGGAGAGCAGTTTGTTGTTGCTGTTTGTAGTCACCCAATCGGACATGGGCCATAAATAAATTTGTCAAGATCTCTTCATTAGTTGGATCCTTTTTGGCTGCAGCATCATACATCTCACAGATTTTATTGGCTAAAATGAATACAAGTAGAAAAAGTTAAATTCATACTGTACTTGTTGCCACACTTCATAAAATCATTACAAGTAAAACACTAGCAATGTAGAGCTTACGTTGTTGAGTTTCACGGTAGCATATTTGCATGGCTTGTAAAGTTTGATCATCAATAGGCACTTCTTTCCTTACTGCCTCGAGTAATTCATGGCATTCATCTTCTTTGCCTAATCTCAATAAAGCCAAAGCTTTCAAAACCTGGGAAAAAATGGATTTACGCTAGAAAATTGTTGATAAAGTGGAGATGAGAAAACAATTATGTTTGTTTTTCAAATAACTAGACACAATACCTTCACACACAAGAAATCTGGCTGCTTTTTAAGCACTTTCCCAGCCTCTTGTAAGGCATTTTTATTGTTGCCATTATCCAGCCAATCTGTGAAACAAATCAATCATAAATAACACACAAACCTCAAAAAACATGTATTCATTGCAAAGGACAAACACACATGCAGAAAATGAAATAAATGGATCAAAATTGTTTTCAATAAGATGAATATTAATGAAAGAAAATTTAAAAGACACTGTTCTTTAGGAATTAGCCACCATAATAATTTAAATCAAACTGTCGAAGGGGGTACATTGAATAAGAAATGAATAGGTTGCATTCATCACAGAAAAATCAAATAGTGCATTCATACTGACATAAATCAATGAAATTAAGTAGAACCTTATGTACACATACATTCGCCAAAGATAGTGCGTAGTGATATAAATGTAAATTGAATTTACAATAGGGGCACCATTCAAAATCGACAAGCAGCGCCTTTTCAGTGCAGACGAGACTGGATTAGAGGTTATGAGCCCCACTGCATACATGCGAAGGGGATGTAGACGTTCACGGATCGCAACCGCCAATAAAGTGAAATAAAGCAAACATCAGTAAATCATCAAAGGGTGTTTGTATTTAAAAATACAACCGGTTTTATACGACATTAGGGGTGACCCCATGAACGCCGGACGGGAGGAGTGCACGCAGAGACGAGTACTGTGTCATACCCTCCGGACGGGATGGATTGGCAAGAAGTCACGAGGGTTACACGGGAATCTCACCATAAATTTGGCGCAGTCTTCTTTCTCCAACACTATTGTCCACATGAGTTTTGGACGATGGAGGTTTGGATACTTTCGGTTTCGGAGCCATGTTTATGCCGCAGTTACCATATTCGCCGCACAACGCGCTAGGCACAGAATGGTGACGTTCGAAACAAGCTCTTACACCCTTGTTTGATCACTGAATGAAAACGAAGACAGATGCTCTTTTCGGACGCAAACGTGCTAGGCTGCTTGCCTTCTTTTTTTACGTAAACGTTCGAAGCAGCCGACGCGGTCTGAAATCATCGACAGTGGTACTTAAACCCAATGGAAATGGCTTCAGATTTCAAAAATATTTGCACGCATTGATTGAATGGCCTTCCTTGGATGAAATTCTTTCTCAGTATAAATTAAAACATCTTTCAGTGCATAGCAATAGCGCAGAATGTGTCATACATTTTGAATTTCCCGCTGGCGCTAGCTTCGCTCGCGGCTTTTCTTCAAACTTTGTTCTTCACCGACTGCGGCGCCAACTGCAACGACGGTTCGGGCTGTCTATGTGAATGAAAAACATTGATTTCGTTTTCATGAAAAGATGTTATGTAGGCTCCAAAAATGGGCGAAATAAGTAGTGGTTTAGATGAATTGAGTATTAGTAGTAATCTATTCGCCGGTGTGAAGTATTATTTAAGTGGTAATGTTAAAGACAAGGTAAGACTCAAGGGACTGAAACTGTTTATGTTGTTTAGAAGAGATGATGTTTTAGTTGTTTTGTAGGGTTTCTATTCAATTTTGATTTTTCTGATAAACTGTTTTGAACATTTGATAGTTGTTTGTGTACATTCCAGTCAGTCGAGAAGTTTCTCTCTCTGGTTGCTACTAGTTCGTAAACATAACCTAAAAATATTCATTCAATTAGTAGTTTCTGCTCTTGTTGTTTTCAATTTTTTATTGACAATCAAATGACTGTTTTGTAATTATTTTGTGTTCTACCCATCTTTTTCAATACTTTCCTCTCATTGGGGTTTGGGGGATTCCTGTGATATTCAATTTCTGTTCTTCTGTTATACTGTTTTGTTTCTGCTTGCCAGTGACAATTTTAATTTTATATTCCACTTTTGCCTTTCTGTGTAGGTCCTTAGTTTACTTCAAGATGGAGGGGCTGAACAGCAACAACATTTTGATTTCTGCACTCACTGTATTGTGGGCGATGATGCACCTGAATCAGACATCATCAGTGCCAAAGATCTGTATGAAGTACCTGCCGTCACACAGCAATGGGTTCTTCAGTCCATTGAGTGTGGAAAAATACTTCCGTATCCTTTCTAACAAGTCAAAAAAAATATTCCTTTTGTATTTTTTCTATTCTCATATAAGTTTTGCCTAAGTTTTGGATACCGCCTTAACTAATCTACAGCACCAAAGGTTTTTCTGCTGAGTCCAATCAATTATTCAGTAATATTAGAGTATCATACTCTGGTCTGAAAAAAGCTGATGTACATGCGTTATGGGCAATGATATCATTTTACGGAGGACAATTTAAAAAATCATTCGACTCATCTTGCACTCACCTTATAGTAGGAAAGCCACAAGGGGTAGGTTTCATCTTATCTACAAATCAATCGCAATCCAATGGAAATTTTTATTGTTCTGCTTCATTATTCTCTCTTTTTTATTAATGCTTCCAGGCAAAATATGAAGCTGCATTAGATCACAATGTGACTGCTGTAACACCAGACTGGGTAACAGACAGTGTCAAAGCAAAGTTTCTTCTTGATCCTATTTCCTATCATCCTCAACTTTTAATCATACCAAAGCCTCGCACCCCTACTCCTCCGGCAGTGTTGGATAAAACTGGTAATTTGATATTGCATTCCATAATTTTTGTGTGTGATTGTGTGAGAGTATTAGAAACATTACATGTCAACGACCACATTATTTTAATTTTCCCTTTGTATCTCTTACAGTGTCTTTGATTACTGGCTTTGCTGATGAAAATGAGAATTCAGCTACCACCTCAACTGCTAAAGTGACACCTTCCATCCCAATTTCTACAGCACCTACAACCAAGGTAGTTGTTCCAAGTGGAGATCCTAAAGCCATGATACTGGAACAACTTAAACAGAGAATGCCATGGAATCAACCAGCATCAACAGGGACAACACCCTCTTCTCAGCCGGCTACCCAAGTGCCCATATCTGCTCAGCAATTGCGAGTAACTCAACCACAACAGACGCCTCTCACACCAACATCTACTCAGCAGCTGCAGCCTAGTTTACAACAGCAAGCATCTCCCGCTCAACATTTACAACACCCACAGCATCAGCAAAATTTGGCGCCTGGACAAATGATGTTGCAACAGCAACCACAACAGCTGCACCAACAGCCTCAACAAAGTCAAGCTCCTCAGCAGCAACAACAACAGCCTCAATCCATACAGCAGCAGGCCCAGCAAATGCAACAGCAGCCTCAGCAAATGCAACAGCAACCTCAGCAAATGCAGCAGCAGCCCCAGCAAATGCAGCAGCAGCCCCAGCAAATGCAGCAGCAACCCCAGCAAATGCAACAGCAACCCCAGCAAATGCAACAGCAGCCCCAGCAAATGCAACAACAGGTCCAGCAAATGCAACAGCAGCCTCAGCAATTACAACAACATCCCCAAATGATTCAGCAGCAACCTCAGCAAATGCACCCTCAACAAATGCAGCAGCTTCAACAATCTCCTCAGCACATACAACAGCAATTACAGCAATCTCCTCAGCAATTGCAGCAACAGCAGCAACAGCAGCCTCAACAACAGCTCCAGCAACACCAACAACTACCACCGCAAGGACAACCTCAGCAACTTATGCCAATACAACAGGTAGGATATTTTACTCTTCATTCTTTACTAAAAATTTCAACAAAAAAATCACAAAAGTCAGTGTGAAAATTTGAAATTTATTTTAAGCATGTATATTTTATAAAACCCCTAAGTGTTACAAAAGAAATATTTCAAGTACATGTGACCATTCTAGAACCAAAATCTATGTGGAGAAAACTTTTATCTTGGTAACATAAGTTAACATATATTTCCTCCCTGTTCATAGTTTTTGATTGATGTATGGTCAAGTGGTACTTCAATTGAACATTTATGAGTATGGTGTTAAATAAATCCAATTAAACATTTTTTAATTTTTTGGCATTGACAGAATTTATATAAAATCAGTTTTTGTGCTGTTTTTAAGAATAGTTTTGCTTATTTATATTTCTTGAATTTTTTGTAGTTGACGCAACAACAGTTCCATCAACTAACACCTCTGCAGCAGCAGCAATATATTCAAAGGATGCAACAACTTCAACAACAACAGCAACAGCAGCAACAGCAGCAACTACAGCAGCAATCCCAGGTTGTTACTGTAAGCTCGTCAGGCAATGTTCTGAACCAATCTATGTCCCCAGTACCGTTACGTTCAATCAACCAAAGCATGGTTAGTGCAACACAAACATTTCCAGAGTTTCGTTTGTCTTTCTTGTAAACTGCTTCAATTTTACATTTTTAATTCATAGATTTTCTGTCTGTATTTAAATTGAACTGTGTTGTATTTTTCTTTAATACAGGCCCCTCCCAATCAGCAACAGCCAACTATGATCACAACGATTGCAGGCGCCCCAGGCCTAATGCAACAGCAGCAGCTTCTAGTGCAGAAACAGCAGTCCCCTCAGCATCAAACGGCATCTCCGCAAGCGCAGCAACAAAGAGTTATCCAACAAGGTCCTATCCAACAAGGTCCTATCCAACAGGGTATTCAATGGAGACCACCTGTGGTAAGTAATTACTTTTTCACCAATCATCCCATCATCTATTAGATTACAAATTTAAAACTTAAAATCTTTGTCTGGTTGTAGTCTGGGCAGCAGACTCCAGGTCAACAGCCAGTTCAAGTTTCTTCTCCTCAGCATGTTCAAGTTGTACCTAAATTGATGACGCAACAGCAACAGCAGCAACAACAATCACAAGCACCTCAGCAGCAACAGCAGCAGCAATTCATTTTGCGAGATGGCCAACTGCAACAACTCCCTCAACACTATACCTTAACTGTTAGTATTGGGTCAAATCAAACCAGGATATTTTTGAGAATTGCATTGAGCCTTTTCATTTATCCATCTTATCTTTCTCTAACCAAAGTTGAGGTCTCTTTCCCTGGTTTTTCTATCTAGAGTTATGACCTTTTCTTATAGTTTCTTTGGAATTATTTCTAAGTGCTTTCCTTGCTAGGGTCGCTCTGCAAGCTAAAGAGGTCAATGCACAATTCTTAAAATTCTGGTTTTATTTGATGGTATTTATAATTTCCTTGCCGTTTAAGTAATTGACCGTATTTTAAACTGTTTTCTTCTAAACCAATCAGGTGCAACGTGAACCAATATTAAGAGATGCGGCTGGAAATCCACTTTCACGTCAACAGCAGCAGCAGTACCATATCCAAAGACAACAGCAGCTGCAGCAGCAGCGTCAGGGCCTCCTTCAGCAGCAGGGGCAGGCTCCTCAGCAGGGACAAATCATTCAAGTAAACTCTCAGCCTGGTCAAATCATTGTGTCTCAAGCAGGCCCTCAAACAAGCCAATCAGTCCAGAGTGGGCAAGTTATTCAAACAACTCAAGTTATCCAGCAGGGTCAAGTTATTCCTCAGGGGCAGGCGATCCAACAAGGACAAGTCTTGCAACAAGGACAAGTCATTCAACAAGGACAAGTTGTTCAACAAGGACAAGTTGTTCAACAGGGGCAAGTTATTCAACAGCAGGGGCAAGTTGTTCAGCAACAGGGGCAAGTTGTTCAGCAACAGGGGCAAGTTGTTCAACAACAAGGTCAAGTAGTTCAGCAAGGTCAAGTACTCCAGCAAGGCCAAGTTGTTCAACAATCTGGTCAGGTCCTACAGCAAGGCCAAGTCCTCCAACCTGGCCAAGTTCTGCAACAAGGACAGGTAATTCAGCAAGGCCAAATCCTTCAGCAAGGCCAAGTGCTTCAACAAGGCCAAGTCCTCCAGCAAGGCCAAGTCATTCAGCAAGGCCAAGTCATTCAGCAAGGCCAAGTCCTTCAACAAGGCCAAGTCCTTCAGCAAGGCCAAGTCATTCAGCAAGGCCAAGTCATTCAGCAAGGCCAAGTCCTTCAGCAAGGTCAAGTCCTTCAACCTGGTCAAGTTCTTCAGCAAGGCCAAGTCCTTCAGCAGGGGCAAGTTATTCAACAAGGGCAAGTGATTCAGCCCGGTCAGGTTATCCAGCAAGGTCAAGTCATTCAACAGGGACAGGTTGTCCAGGGAGGCCAGCCTCAGTTACAGCAACGTCAAATTGCATATGCTCAGGTACAGTAACTACCACATCTTTTGCTCTTTGTCAGATTATTATGAGAACCAATCTAATCTAAAGTTATGCTCTGCAGCGTAATGTAATTCAAGTAGATGCCCAAACAAGAGCTCAAATGCAACAAATGAATCCAGAGCAACAAGCATTATTCCTGCAAAAGAAGATGGAGAGACAGAAGCAAATACTGCTTCAACGACAAATGCAGGTCAGTTTTTTAGAGCCGTGATCTTTTGTGTTCCTGTGTCCTCTGTTGACCTGAAATAACATGTTTCCATCTAAATTTCCTCTCCTACCTGGAAAGCAGCAGCGAGCCCAGCAACAAGCACAACTCCAAATCCAGGGACAGAGTGCACAACCTCAAGTTCAAATAGCTCAAAATCAAGTTCCCCCAGGACAAGTTTCCCAAGCCCAGATTCAGCAAGGGCAGATTCAACCAGCTCAGATTCAGCAGTCTCAAATTCAACAGGTGCAGGTCGCACAGGTCCAAGTTCCTCAAGGGCAGCTTCCATCGGGGCAGTTGATTCCAAACAACATTCCCCAGGGTCAGATGCCACAGGTTTCCCAACAGGCACAGGTTCAGCAGCAGGTTCAGGGGCAACCTGTACCTCAGGGGCAGGCTCAGCTGAGACAGGTGGCTCAGGGACAAGGTGGACAGCAACAGGTCACTGTCATCAGTCGAATCATGCCGCAGGGACTGAATCAGCAGCAGCAGCTTGTGTGGATGCAGCAGCAGCAACACCGAGAGAGGCAATTGCTTCTTCAGCAGCAGCAGCTTGCACAGAATCCTCAACTGAGACAGCAGGTATATTATTATTGATTGAGTAAAGGATTTTGGTTTTTAAAATATATTACATTTACCTAAATTTATCAAATTTTAGGTTCTAGTGCAACAGCAAGGACGTATTCGGCAGCCATCTATGCTTCAAGCTCAGCAGCAACCTGGTGTGCAACCAAGTGCAGCTCCAGTCCCCCCTGGTTTGTATAACTGGAGAAGTTTTGAAAATTTATGGCCTAAATGATGCATAAATGCTAAATTTAGTACTTTATCTAATATTCTAGGACAGGCAGCCACTCCTCAACAACAGCAACAGTTTGCAATGCAACAACAAATGAGAATGCAGCAACTGCAGATGCGTGAACAAGCTCAGAAACACCAGGTTATGGTTCTCCAAGGGCAACGTATGCCATACTCTCCTCAGGTAAGTCAACAGCCACCAGTGAAATTTCTTTTGTCAGACTACTGTTCAAAAGATTCAAAGACATCAAGTATACGTATTTTACTTAGAAAAACCAGGTCTTATTATCTTTGCACCAATGTGTGTGTGGCTTTGCATATTACCTAAGTTTCATGCTTTGTGTGCTCAACTTGCTTTATTCTGCAGCACATTTTCTTGTCTATGAATATTTGATTTCAGATCATTGCTTGCATAGATGTTTTTTAATGTTACCCTAGTTTTAGATATTTATTGAATATTTCATAAATTAGATAGTAAATATGCTCAGTCATTATTAATGAGTTTATTTTCTGATCTTCATCTAGTTTTTTAGTATAGTGTCGAGTTGTTAAAGCAATACAGTCTAGTATGAGTATTGTTGGGTAGTTGTGCTAATGCAATAGGCCAAAAAACATCCTCCGTTCTGTGTTTCAAATTTTTATATGTTATGGTGTTTGTAAATTTCTGTATGTGCATAGCTTTTTGTGTGGTACTGTAGGGCACAGGTGCTTTAACTCAAGTGGCTGTCCGTGCACCGCTGCAGCCTGGACAGGCGCAGACTCAGCAGCAAACCCAGCAAGTTCAATCTCAACAACCAGGAAATGCTGTCTCTGGTTCCAGCAATGCTTCTGATTCAAACACTCAGGAGCAGTTTCAGGTACTGCTTTACTTAAAGGAAACGGTGTTGGGAGTACAACCACTTGGAGGTGGTGGTAAAATTAATGCAGATTTTATTCAGTATCTGTTATTTTATCTTTGAACACAGTTTTGTACATGTGCTCTAAATTTCTGTACATAGTGCCTCACTTCATAAAGTAGCCATTCATCACTTGGATTTCATTTGACCTATTTTAAGCTTTGGTATTGTTCTTAATTTAATTATTTATTATTGCTGGGCTTTTGTCTGTCTCTTCCTTTCTTTCCTGCGTCTAAATTGTTGTGTACATTTTCCCAGTTCAGTTCACTTCTATCAAAAAATTTACCAGGAATCTTCTAAATACAAATGCTTTAGCAGTATGGTGCTGGCTTCTTGTAATGGTGAAGGAATGAGTATAGCTTACTGGGCGTGTGTTCATAGGGAGAAGGGACGCAGTCTATTCCAGTCGCTCAGCCAGCTGCTATTCCGGCTCCTTTGCCACCTCCCATGCCAGCGCCTTTGGCGCCATCACTGCCTTCATCTCAAACTCAGTCCCTGGTCAATTCAAAAACAAAAACAGCCCTAGCTAACATGTTGAGTAACAGGTTGAATGGTGGTGGAGGGCAGCATCATACTACATCTACCACTACCACTCAGGTGAGATGGCTTAAAAAAATAGCCCATTTTTGTGTGTGCCCCTAAATTATTCCCTATTTTTTAAATTACTAACAACATGCCTTGGTTTGAAACTTGTGATCCTTAACATGTAGTATTGATGTTTTGAAGTTTCTGTGAAGATAAGTTATTTGTCATTAACATGGTAAATAATTACTGTATGGGTGTAGTCAGTCATGTCATGTAATTTTACCTTTGCATATGAAATTTTCCATTAAATGAAATGTGTGTCATAGTGCATCTCATACCCTATTATGAACAAATATGTGTGCTCCAATCCCTTTTGCAGCATCTGGTTTAGTTTATGTGTGGAATTGTTCAGAGGCGCTACAAACTGAAGAAGTACGATGGTAATAGATTATAACATTTTGCTTCAACACTTTCATCCCTTCCATAGTAATATGTGGTTGGTCTAATATTCTGTTGGGCTGTGAATACTATGTAAAATTTAATGCATGTTACTTTCAGGTAAATTCTTTTTTCCCCTTTATGCATGAAATAATTGTTTAATAATAATAATTTTATTTTTCTATCTAGAAGTACATCTTGTTGATTTTGTAGTTTTGTTGGTGTGGTTTTGTTAACCTCTTCAGTTTTTGTTATGTTTCTTTGATCTGTAATTTTGGTCAGCTCTTACTGTTTCCTTTTGCATCTTGCTCTAAACTTTATTAACCATTATAGAGCTCTTCTGTATCTTCTAGTTTCCTTTGCAGGTTTGTGAAATTGATTCAAACAGTGTTCTTTATGCTTTGCTGAAGAAATTTTTAAATTTCTTCATCAGACCCTGTTTAAAAGATAAACATTTTTTAATAACTCTAATGAAAAAATGTAACTAACTAAAACACCAGATTTTGTTATTCCAAAGATAAGCCAATTATCTTTGAAGTTCCTCTTAAAACAGTCTTTCTGTAATCATTTTTTTTTCATTTTTCATCTTTTTTCTTCTCTTTCCTAGCTTCTCGCACCAGAGGGGAGTGCAGCAGGGCAGTTGCGAAGAATGACAGCCCAGCACCATGCAGCGCAACAACAGCAGCAGCAACAACAACAGCAACAAGCTGCTCAAATGACTCCTCAGCAGCTAATATTATTCCAGGTATTTCACAATTTCTTGTGCTTTCTGAAGGTTTATGTTGATTGTGTATTTCTTCTTTACATCCAATTCCTCTTCTTCAGCAACAGCAAAGGCGCACTTTAAGTAATATTACAAACAGCACACCCGGAGTGGCAGTTGCTGGTGCAGCAGGTGGTGTATCTCCAGTAAGAGTAGCGGGTGTACCAGGTCAGGTGGCAGTGGTTGGGCAGCCGGGCATGCCACCTGGACATTGTGGACCTCATGGAGGAGCCCTTACACCTCAACAAATTCAAGCAGCCAAACAGGCTCGTGCTGGGCAAATGGTTGCAAAAGCTGGCATACCACAACAACATCCAGAACCGGTGGAGTACTATGGTCATCATCCCAACACTAAAAGTTAGTACTGCATTACATGTGTGTGGTGTCTTATTATTATTGTATCTGAAAAATAATGTTGTTTCTTTTTAGTTCCTCCAGACATGTGCCTTCTCGGGTGTGTCTTTTTCATTGTGGAATATGATGAGACTTATCCAAATCTGTTAAATAGTTGGAGGAAAATAATCAGAGATTATGGAGGAGAGGAAGATCCTGTGTATGGTCCCCGTGTGACTCATGTACTCTGTGAAACTCAAACCAATCCTAGGGTAAAGCAAGCTATGCACGATGGAAAGCGTCTTATTACAGCTCAGTGGTTGAATGATGTGATATTGAAACAACAGATGTTTCCTCCATGCCATGCTCTACATTTTCCCGTACAGTTTGGGTAATGACTATTTATTGTGGTCTTATACTCAATTGATTTAAGTCTTGAAAATTTTCTTGCATTCACATTATATATCATTTTATTGCAGGGACGTCAAACCTTGTAAAAACAGGATAATTGCACATTCTGGTTTTGAAGGTGAAGAAAGGTTACGTATTAAAGAAATGATTGAGTTAGTTGGAGCCAAGTGTACTTCTTATTTTAGTCAGCAAAATGACCTTCTAGTCTGCCGCAAGTATGTATATTATGGATGTGCCGTATCTATTGGTACTTGTTCTAATGCTTTCTTCTTACTTCATAATTATTTTTCCATATTTTCTAGGCCTGAAGGAGCCAAGTATCGCCAAGCTAGAGAATGGGGCAAGCCAGTAGTAAATGCTCACTGGCTGTTTGAAGTTATGTTTTGTTCTTATAATTGCATCCGTCGACCTGAACAAAGAAGATTTCAGCAATTTAATTTATTAAATCCATTTTGCATTAATTGTGATGCTGTGCCACATCTTATGGGTTTGTATTTTGTTTTTATCTAATTGCTATGAGATACACTGTTTGACATTCCTTTCCTACAATGAACTGTTCTCTTTGCTACGACCAGGTCCATGGACAAACCCGGTGCTTGTCACCCAAGAGGCCTATGAAAGAGCTAAACTTAGTATGTCTCCACGCCGTAAGAAACCCCGTTTAGATAAAGGACCAGACTGGTCTCAGGAAAATGTAAAACAGGAAGAAATGGACACAAATTGTATTGGGCCTACTGAAAACAAAGAAGGGTCACCTATCATCCTGTTATCATCAGTGACTGATACTGCAGGACTACAGCAGGTATGTGTAATTTTGAAGCCAAGTTCAAAAATGTCATTTGTCTTTTTCAGTTTCAGTGTTGAGGAATTGTATATTATTAATTTTTAAAAAATTTCTTTGTTCAGAAAATTCACGAGTTGGGTGGCAGTGTTACAAAAGTGAGCAGAGAGGCAACACATTTGGTTATGTCAAAACCACAAAGAACTGTTAAGTTTTTATGTAGTGTATCATGTGTAAAGTATATATTGTCGGAATCTTGGATCTCAGATAGCTATTCACAGAAAAAGTTTCTAGGTAAGTTTTATGTTCAGTGTGTATTTTGATTTTTTGTTCTATACTAATTTTGAAGTTGTATCACCATTTTTCTCCATTTTCTCCTATTAGATGAGAGTAATTACTCTATTCAAGACTCAGATTTTGAAGCCAGTAATAATTTTATATTTTCTGAGTTATTAGCCAATCCAAATAGAACTCAGCTGTTTAAGGTACTTACCTTGTACATTTTTGGTTACAATCTAGTTACTAAACTATTAATCTTTGTCTATTTTTATTTTTTCTAGAACAAAATATTTTACATAACTCCTGGAGTAATACCCTCACCAGCTTGCCTTCGAGAAATTATTGAGCATGCAGGTGGTTCAGTCGACCGACAAAGAAGAACCTTAAAAGAGATTTTAGAACTCAATTCTGGTACAGGTAGTGGACCTTTCCAGAATCACTTTCATGGTCCTCACTCTATTACTTCATCAATGGCAATCACTTCTTATTCTTCATCAGCCTCTCTAAATACTAGCAATACCCAATCTACTATGATAGCTTCTACAGCAGACTTAAATTCCCAACCATCTCTCTCCAATGGACCTAGTACAAGTGTTAGTGGCTCAAACCACATACCAATGTCAAATGCAACAGAAGCAGATTCTGCAAGCAAACCTGTCACTGCTAGCAAACCTGTCACTTCTATTTCAAGTTCTTCTCAGGAAACATCCAGTTCTGTCCCCACCATATCTGATGCTAATGGTAATACATCACTACTGAACAAAGATGAACCAATGATGGTTGACTCAGAAATAAAAACTGTCATCAAACAAGAGATTTCAGAAAATGTAAATGATGAAAAGAAACACAATTCCATAGAAAACAAACCAGATGGAAGAAAGCAAGATGATTTAAATGACTTGGAAGACGGAAAGAAAGATCCAAAAGACCTTATGAAACCACCAGTTCCCATTGGCTTCAATGCTCCAAGAGATTTTAGGGCCAAAATGGACAACACAAAGAAAGAGCCTGTCTACCTCGTCATATCAGTCTTTAATGACCTTCATCTTGTGAAAGATCTTCTCAAAGCTAAAATAGGTAAATCAACTAAGTCTAATGGATATATCCAATGAAGTTCCTTTCAGTTATGTCTAAGAATTTTCTAACCACATCAAATTTTCTCTCAACAGGAATTTATAGTGCTGAGTTTGTCATGAGTTCTATATTGAAGCAGAAGATAGACTTTGACTCTGCCATATATGATGATCAATAGTCTGATAAGTGGAGTATTTCTTGTGTTACCATTTGTTGATATTTTAAGACTGAGTTCTGATAGACCAATCTCATATCCGATCTAGGTTTCAGTCACAAATATCTGTTTAATACCTGTCGTGTTCATGTGTGTACAGTTTTGTGTATGTCTGTTTTCACTTGATTGTTATAGTTTTATTGGTTTGTACAAAATGATTAAAAAAATCTGTTGTAACATATTTTTGTGTACCATTTGGGTTCTTTTTCTTTGTAATTTTCCTTTGCATACTATTTTTATTGAGGCTCTATCTGTAGTTTATGGATTTGTTGAAGTGAATATTCTGACCAATGTCTTTATTAAATAGTCAATTATTTTTTAAAAAAAGATTTCTTTGGCATTAGTTTTATTTTAAAGTTTGTCGCCTTTGAACCAATGTAGAAAGACCTCAGTTTTTATAAATAGGGATTACCTTAACACTACTACATCTAGAGTGTGGTATTATTACTGCAAGTGCATTTTGTTCCACTAAGAGTTAAGCATGTTTTATCGCATGTATACAAAATAAGTTACTTGTGCTATTAAGGTAATAGAATTGTAGTTTTCAGTGCAACCGTTAAACTTTTAGTTATTTGTTCTTGTGTGTTGAGAGTATGGAAATCATAGCAGCTTTCCATGTTTTTATTTCTTTTTATTTACCAAAGATTGTCCACACAGACTGAGCACAACAATCATATATGTAACTTAATTTGTAAAGAGAAGGACAACACTCTCTTTTCATATTGTACATTCTCCTTGGAATTTTTGTTTGCAGAAGTTGTTGATCTATATAACAAGGTTAATTTAATTATATGGCTGTGCTATTCAAGAGAAACTTTTATCATCAGTTTTGGATTTTCTGTTGGAGCTTTGTGTTACTACATTGGTACAAAATTGAGCAAGAGGAAGTGTATTTTGTAAATTTTAGCCCTTAGGCCCTCCTTGTTCTGACCCTTCCGGAAAATTTAGTACCTCTGTGTTCACATGAAGTCTTTCACTTTATATTACCAATTTGTAAATATATATTTTTTTTGTGGAAGTCTCCAATGTCAGTGCAATGTGCAAATGTATTTCTCTTTTCAATGATTTTAATGAAGTATAGACTTGTGTTGTCAGTAATTTCGCTGCTTCGTTATTGTTTCATAAATCTCTCCATGGTTGCCACAACCCCGGAAACCCTTGAAAATCTAGAAAACTTAGGAATTTTTTTTTTAAAAAATGCTTAAGGAAATCGGTAAAAAATCAAGGAAACATTTCAGGGATATTTGTTCTGATTGGTCCCCTAACTGCCCCCTATTTGCTGCTCAGATCTAACATACATTTTGACCTCCCAGCTGGGTGTTTCTGGAAATGAGTGAAAACTAAGGGAAAATGGAAATGAAAGTTTTGTGGTAACCATGGTCTCAATTCAGTTGGGAACAGGAAACGGAAGACAAGCAAACACAAGTTATCAAAATAATACTAATTTCAACAGAACAAACACATTTGCTTACAATGATAATGAAGAGCAATCTGTCATGTTATAGTGTACTGATTCAAAGGTGAAGAATTACAGACATGAAAAACAGAAAGTAGTAACCAGCTGCTCACTTAATTAACTATATTGTAATAATCACATGAAACATACGCTGCTTTAGTACAAAAAATATCAATAAATAAAAGAAATTGTTCTTGGTCAAAAGAATTATAATAACTGAAAAAAAGAAGGAAAAAACCCTCATTCCTGATGTAATGAAAATAATGTATTAAGCTCATTTAAACCAAATTTAAAATAAAACTTGGAAGAGAGCATGAATGAAAATAACATCAAATGAACAGCTATGTATGAAACAATATTTATAAATCCATAAATTAACAAGGAAACATAGGATCTACAAAACATTCTCAACTAATTGTTTTGCTTCTCCTACAACATCAATGCTAATGTGAGAAGCCACCCACTGAGCACTAAAACCTTTAGGTGCTACAGCAGCAACAAAACGAATTTTATCACCCTCTTTAAAGACCTGATAAAGATCTGTATTGCTCAGGCTATGTTTAAAAACAGAGGCACAGGAACGATGAAATAATATACTTTGCCAATGAGTTTGTTTTAAGTTAACAGCACCCAAGGCAATGCCATATTCTTCACTAAGAATGTGCATTATCTGTCCTTTTCCTCGGATGAATTGAGACTTGGGATTTCTGATAACCTGGAAGAAAGAAAAGAAAACAAATTATTTCAAGAATTTGGGGATGTCCTGGGAGCCAATTCACGGATTAACTTACAGTTTTGATCTGTCCAAGGTTTGGGTCAGTATCTTGAATAGGAGAATCATAATCCGTATGAGGTTTTGATCGTTTCCATACTAGGGGGGCAAACCAAGAACAATTATGATCGTTTTCTTCTGGGTCAGTTGGAACAGCATCGAAATTCACTTTATCGTTAACAGAAAGAACTTTGTCTAGAGGTTGCTTTGTTTTTGCTCGCTTGCCCCCATCATAAAATTTGCTTGCTATGAACAGAATATCCTGGGGTACATCTGTAAACAAGGCAGGACACAAGTCAGGCAAGGAAAAGCAACAGATTTTGTGGTACTTCAACAATCAATAACTCACCATTATCTTTGTCTTTGTAAGAAATAATACCCATTCGTTTGTCGAGGTGAGACACATATCCAATTCTATTGAGCATTGGTGGACAAAGACCAGTGACCATAGAGGAATCTGTTAAAGTAATACCAACCGAAAGCACATCAGCAACATACCAAGAGTACCTGAAAATAAATGTATAATTGCAATATTTAACTTGCACTTATAGAAAACACATGATACAATAAAGGTCAGTGTGTTTACATACTTTTGATCACCAGCATTATTTACTTTGTGGCATAAACATCGAACAGTTGTTCCAATTGATACAAAGTCAGTAATAGGGTGGTCGTTTGAACCATCTTTGTTAATGTTAGGTCTACAAGTGAGCTTCTCAACCTTGAGTAAAGCCCTTTGCTTGGGTCCAAGATCTTGGAATTCAACCACAGCTTTGTACCGATTGATGATTTCAACCACGGTACCCACAAAATTTTTGTAGGCGTCATTCGTAGAAGCCATTCTGAAAACGGAAAGAGAGGAAATGTTATACAGGGAAAACCATTCCTGAATCGTCAAATGCACATCAAATAAACACTTCACTGAAAGGTTAGGCCACTTTGCCTAGCGAACAGAGTAACGACACAGCCGTAGTGGGGATTAAAAAAGGATCGAGGAATGTCTCACCTAAATTAGCTTCTAATCTCCTCACATGAACGTTAATTACTTCAAAATAACAAATATTACTGTTTATCAGCAGACTAGCGAGCTAGACAGTATAATATAGGCAGGACAACAAACAACAACAAGTGAGTGAAATGATACGGAGACAGACAGACAGACAGGCACGAGGCTAGGCCTGTGAGTAAGTAAGTATGAGAAACAAAGCGAAACAAAAGCAGCCAGCTTCAATTACAAAAGTTATGTCCAATCAGATGCCATGTATATGCACGCATGAGGATGCACGCAAAACCACTTGTCATCTTCACATTTCGAATAACGGAAATATCTGCATTTGTTTGCTTAAACTCACAATAATCTTCAGTATGAGGGAAGTACCTTCCGCACTGCACATCCCGATGACTTTCGAGACGCGGTCGGCGCGGTCCCCCGGTGCCCGCCACCCCCGTCCACCCCTAGAGCGACTCGGACGCCGCTCATCGTCGAGCCCTTCCAGCCTTTCCAGCCCACCCTCGTCGTGGTTGAGTCTCTCTCCCCTTGCAGCCCCTAGCCGAGCCCAACACCCCCGCGGGGGTGGTAGTGCGCGGGGTGCGTGCAGGAGGGGTGCGGGCGCGGCCTCCTCCGCCAGCGCCGCCGTGCGCTGCACGCCGGCCTCCCCCCCGCCGCCTCGCGTGGGCGCGACGGCTCAGAAACGTCGCCAAAGTTTGTTCGGCATTTTGTTTCCGCCGTGACGCGCCTGCCCCTTTGTCCGGAGCGCCGACGCCGCCGGGGCCCCGGAGCCGCCGCCCCGTCGTGTCCGCACATGTTAGCCCAGGAAACCAGTGCAAAATAATGCCTCATTGCTAACAAAAATTGTAGGAAGCTGGATTTTGGTACACTGGTAGATTCGGGACTCCTCTCTTACCTCGATTTTAGTCCCCGGCGATCCGAGGTGTGCAACCCGAGATATTGAACAAGAAGGGCCTAAATGCAGGACTTTGCGGTATTGGCCGTAGCTCCGAAGCTATTCAAGCCAGAGG